GTCAGAAGGTTTCTGGAAACCTCCTGTAAAACCTTAGCCTGGAAAACCCACAATTTTGCAGTTTTACAAGCGCTATCTGATTTATGGTCATTTTTCATATATCTACCGAAAATTTGGTGTGTTTCTGGCTTAAAATGGCTGTAGAATATCTCAGTCCGGGCTACCTACCTGTCGTCTCAAAAGTTAAAATTCGAGACTTTTTCAGTGGTGTGACATCTTTCGCAAAATATCATCGCAGGGTGCACCACCTGTAGGTGATTTTCGGACAATAATTTTTGGTTTTTCTTATTGTCCCAACATCTTTCTTTCGACTAGTGAAAATCGCAGCTCCGTAGCTACATCCTAGAAAAAGTTATTAAACAAATGGCCATGATCTTTCTTTTTTGAAATGGATAATAGTTAAAATACGTTTTTAGATGAATGATTCATGCTACAACTTTTATCTATTGCTTTATGCGATTCTGAAGAATAAAAAACGACCAGTTTATAATCTGCAGCTAATAATTGCACGCCTTTTTTTCTGCTGAAAATCAACATTAGATATTTAATTACCTAGATTATGAAAATCACTGTGGCATATTGTTATCGAACGCACATGTTTTTTATAGAATTAATTTAAAAATGAATTTTTTCCACTTAGATTGTTTAATAAATCACAGAAAACAAAGTATTATTACACCACATGTTTTTGTCTTTTATGTGAATATGATATTTGATATTTAAGATTGTTTGTTTTAATTTATAATTACTGTTCACACTTGGTAACGTGTATTAAACTGTAATAAAATAATGTAGATGTGACAGCTTGCTCATCTAATAGACGAATCAATAAAATTTTCTAGCGTATTAAAAACAAGAAAATGGTAAAGGTTTTAGGCTGACCTTCCTATTACACCATTAACAAAAAAGAAAATGAATTGTTTTTAGATAAACGCTTTTAAAAACATCGGTCTCATATTTTATTTATTGTAGAAAAGAGAATATAGCATTTATCTTACTACTAAATAAAAGCGTAGTGTTAGTTGTTGTTGGTTACTCTTATTCCTGTTTCTAGTATCAGAGTGTACGTATAACTAATATTGTTTCTAACTTGCTTATCCAATAAATAGGAGTGTGGATTAATCTTTTTAAATGAATTAATTGCATTATGTATGTCAAAATAGAGAGAAGAATAAGATATCACCTTTCTCATACTCCTCACATGTTTATTGATTGTTTTGAAATCTTTTAGTAGAGATAGTGCGGACTAATGTAAGTAGAAAGATGCACTAGATTTATTCACATAATTCAGACAAACATCTTTCTTAGAAAATATTCAAAGCATCATATCACCTAGATGTCAATTCGAAATATCTCTGCGTTGTTTAGGCTAGTTGCTGAAATATGAGCTGAATCTGTTGTTAGACAGATTTGAGAAGCACGCACATGCATGCTCTTAAGTAGAATGAATGAATGGTTTCAGTATTGAGGTACGTTTGCATATGACCGATTCGCTGCTATTTTTATGAAAAACACGTAAAAAAATGAACTTTCTTGTGAACTATTTTGACTGTTTTAGTAAATTCTGACAGTTCAAACAAATGATAAGAAAACTAATTTTTCCGGCTGCCACTTCTAATTCTCTCAGCAAATAACTTTCCGCTATGAACGAAAGCACAATAATCCCTGAACTCATTGCGATACAGATGACATAAAATGATCTTTAAAACTTTTTTCGAATACACCAACCGATAGATCTCAATGCACAGTGGGCATTTTCCCATAGAGTAGGCGGACATCTGATTTTTTGGGTTAGAAAATGATTATTTTAGCATAATATGGTCTTACTATGTGTCAGATATTAGTAGAAGTAAAAAAGGTCGAATTCGAAAAAAAAATGTTTTTCGACAAAAAGTTCCTTAGGGGGACCCTTTCCGTGAATTTTTGTCAAAAGATGCTTTATTTCTAAAACTAACAAACTATACATCATTCGATGCCGTTTTTCACGCTGAGTCCGAATATGTATATATTTTTCGGAAAAAATTGGTTTTTACCTCAGAAACCTGGGTTTTTGGAAAATCAATATCTCAGTCCAGAAAAATATGCGGACTTTTGCGCAGTCACCATAGATGCACGGCCTCGCGAGGAACATTTTAGTATAAAAATATGTTAGTTCAGACCTGCGCTAAGCTGCGCGTTCTCAAAATACCGGAGAGAGCCTTTCCAGCCTAGACCTTTTTCGAAAGAATCCATTCCAAAACTCTTAAGTTTCACTCGAAAAACAAAATTTTTTTTATTTCGTATTCGTCTGACTATGTTCTTTCCGAATATGAGCTCGGTTTTATTCTAGTTTACTATCCTTCAATAAAAATCGAAATTTTCCGAAAAAATAGCACATTTACATGGTGTTTTTTGCATTTCAAATCTTTTCTAGTTCCATTAACAGAGATATCAGAAAACAAAATTGAAGATTTCACAGAACATTAAGTGCGTAAAACTTATTGAAAAGCAATTGTTACTTTTTACAGTAAGGAGAGCATTAATTTAATTTAATTTTTCAAAAACGACCGTGAATAGTTGAATTTGTAGGACCCTATGTATAAAAGAGTCCTATGCACAGGAGTTTTGCTGTGCCTGTATGCATAAGACTTTTTTTATCTATAAGGAAACCATCCTATACTTATGCTTCATTTTCATTAGGACAAAAAATATAGCAGAAATCCGATTTAGTAACCGGTGAAAAAAGTCCAAAACCTGCACAATCTTGCTTATCACAGCGTTACCATTTTTCTGCTTTTTCTTTGATTAATACAGATTAATTAGAATAGTTTCAAACTTGACAAGCTATCACATCTTGTAGAGCGAACAATTTTCTACAAACTGGTATACTTGTTCAATGTTTATCAGCTCATATTCACTCTTTTAGACACGCTTTTCAGATAGCCCCAAAATCGCTTTTTGGGACTGTTTGTATAATAGCTGTATTTTCATAACAAATCAACGTTCAGAGTCGAGATACTTTTCATTTTGTAGAGAAATGTTTAATCTACTTAATCATCTAGTTGTCATTTTAGATTAGTTTGTAGCTTTATTGCAACAACTTTTCGAAAAATACCAAAAAAATGGAGACCGTTAGCTGGATAAGTCGTTAAATTGATCTCAAATATACTCTAAGTAGAAACGGGGCCTTCTAAGAATCAAACAAAGACAGTTGTCTTTCTATTAGAAGCTGATGTTTGCTAATATTAAATGAATCTAACCTAAGCAGTTTACTGCATTGGTTCTTTTTTTAATTAATAGTCTTTTATATTTTAAATCTATTTGTTTGTTTATTTTTCGATAGCTAATCTTTAGTGGAAAATGGTGCTTACAAATTCCGTCGCCGTCATTTACAGACATAATTGTGTACGATTAGCATTTGTTATCGGTACATTGATATTGTTTATTTTTCACGTGATTGTTAATCATCTGCACGAAGTGGGACACAAGAGTATGTATATTTAATTCGAATGTTTGTGTTTTTATTACACTGTTCTTCTTCATCTAGCTCTGTTTCTTCATGATACATATCGTCCTGAACACTCGGTAGTGAATGATATTCAACCAACAAGAGCAATTTATCATCTTCTCAATATCATCAATTATATTTGGCAGGTATAAATCATTAATTCTCTTAGATTCTTTTTGATTTTTTTCTCTAAACCTATTATAATTCTAGTTCGCATGGTTAATTTATACATTAACATTTTTATTTCGTCGTTCTGCGGCCGGTTATTTGTATTTAATACCAAATACTTTAACGTTAACATTTTATATTACATTTATTCTTGGTCTCCTTACACAAACATTTTGGGTGCTATTTTTTAGCAGTCATGTTAATGTACGTAGTTCTCTTTCATCAACATTAGAATGCATGATGGAAAAGAAATTTTGTTCTTTTAGTGGGCCTGGCTTGCATATTTAATTTCCTTCCTATTACTGTCGTTGTCATTGTTTATTTTGATCAATAATTTGGCATTAAACAGAAACATTTATGAAACTGATGGATTGTAAGTACGAATTTAATGAGAAAGAAAATTATCGAATTATTTTTTTTTATCTTTAAGAAATCGTGATGTCTGGTGTCTTCGTTTCTTGGCTCAAAATGGTATCGCCTACATTGCATGTTGGACAGGTAAGTAATTCAGATATAATTGTACTTATTTTTATAGATGAGAAAAATGTATTTCTTGTTTGATAAAAGTTAAACTTTTTGAAATATCATCTAGTTAACACAAAAGGTACTTCAAAACATTGGTAAAAAAAAGTCTTTTTCTTACGCCACGCAACTGATCTACTTAAGAATTTCATTTGAGCTAACCTACGATGCAAAAGTAATTGGACAAATGTCGAGCACTATTTCTACATGTCCTAGATATGAATGAGAAAAAAATTTAAACACCTAACGTCACCAAAAAAGCCCTTGTATTGTAAAAAAAAGTCCTATATTTTTCACTACAGCCTAACAAAACGGCGCTTTTCCGAGATATCAGAGTTTCATTGAAAAATTTTTCGTTAAAAAAACTTTTCATTAAAAGGAAGTTCGTTAAAATTTTCAATGAAAGTCTTGTGGCATCAAAAACTCCGGGTTACAGTCATTTTCCAGAAGACTTTTTAATGAAAGTACCGGGGCTTTCATTAAAAAAAAACGCTTAATAAAAGTTTTTTTAACGTAAGTCACTTAATCCGTTTTTCCACAGAATAGATATAGATGAGAATGTAACCAATACAAAACTCTATTGATTCCTTTACTTTCGAGAATTTCTAGGTAATTTGTTAATAGTAAAGAAGATGTATATAAAACTGAACTTTGCTATAAAAAAAGCATTATCAGAAAGATAAAACATGAAGAAAATCTATTTAATCAGAGCTCAAACGATGTTAGTAAAGATTAAAACGTCGTTATACGCCAGTTTAAAGAGCGATAAAAAATAGTTCTAGTTTTTGTAATTACATAATTTCGAATGTATTCTGTTATACGAAAAAAATACTTTTGATGAGAGAAGATACATTTAAAGACGGTGAAAGTTACAAAAGCTTTTTTGATGATATTTGATATTTAAATTTTTTCTTACTCAACGAAAAATTTTATCTTCCATGTTTTTTGACATTCAGACTTTGTTTTTTCCAAAGGAGATATAATCGATTTTTTAAAATACATATCTGGAATATGTAGAAATAATGCTCGACATTTCAAGACTTTTGCAATGTAGGTTAAAGAAAAGATGTTGGTCACCGAATCTGGGCAGTTCTTAGCTGGATATTTCTCATTCAGATGCCTCATATCCTAGGACAGTTCTCATGAATTTCTTTTTCAAGCACTGTAGCATATAAAAGAGATTGTATAATTAGTGCATGTAAAAAAAAGAAAGTGTAATGTAAGAAGTGTCTAAGTGAGAAGTATTCAGGTTAGACCTGTCTGGGAAAGATCGGACTGAATATCTCTCCGAAAACATCTATGGACTTAACACTGTTCCATATTTTCAGTTAGTACACGTTCATTCAATATCTAGAAAGTATAAGCTATATTTTTAATTGTTTTGACGCTCTAAAATATCAATTATTAAGGGCAGAATTATCGAAAACCTAAACATGTAAAATAGAAAAGAACAAAAAGTAAAATTATTTCATCTTTTAATAATATATTGTTCATTTTCTTTCTTTTACATAGCTATTCGTTTTGTATTAACATTCGACGTATTTTTGCAACGTAATTTATCATGTTCACTTCTAAATGCTGGTACTGTGTGTTTGATAATTGCATTTATAATAGCTGTCGGTTATTATATTTTTCCAAATATCAATGCTGCCTATGTTGAACAATATGCCTATCAATTTTCCCCATGGATCGTCTTTATCTTGTACTTCTGGGGTGTTGTTCAATATAACTGGATACCTTATAACGTAACAAGAAATAATATCATAGCAGTTATTGAATTAATTGCCATATTAGTTTTTACCGTTATTGCTATTCTATTGTTTAGTCTTCGTTATTCACGATCAAAAATTGATCGATTTGCCATATAATGACAACAAGTAGCAATATGAAATCAACCAAAAATATATTTAAAGGGGGTTTTAATAATACCACATTTGTAAAAAGAGGGTTTTATTGGTTTTTTTAATTTTTATGTTATGGTGTACTAGAAATTATAATATATATTTATATTCAAGAAAAAAATAAGAAAATACAATCAATTTCTTTCTTACTCTATTCAATAGGTAAATGGTAAAATATTTTTGTTTTGTTCCAGTACTCAATCAAACCATAGTCTATCAAATAAACGCCTTATTGCATTCATACCTGTGTATTACAGCAACTATGCTTAATATATTAGTGACTATAACTTAGCGGCGTAGCCAGGATTTCTTAGCAGAGTGGGCTCAGCCCCGCTATTTTTCCGAAATCCAGAAACGGTGGTGTGAGTTTTCTCTAGTCTGTAGCAAAATCCAAACATATTTGACATGTGTGAGAAGAAACGAATAAAGCAGAATGAAAGAAAAATACTGATTGAACGAGAGGGGAGCTGACAAGAACAAATATTTAAAAAACCGAATAGAGATGTACCAACTACCACTTAATAACCTAGTGGATGACATATTGCAAAGAGAAAAGACACGCTAGCTGAA